TGAGGAGCTCTGGATGGCTGGGAGGTGTTCGAAGGGCCAGGCAGGAAGGCTGGGTTTTTTTTGTTTGTTTGTTTGTTTCAAAATGTGGAACTAGCGCCCGGCACGGTGGCCTAGCAGCTTAAGTCCTCGACTTGCAAGCGCCAGGATCCCATATGGGCACCAGTTCTAATCCCAGCAGCCCCACTTCCCATCCAGCTCCCTGCTTGTGGCCTTGGAAAGCAGTCGAGGACAGTGCAAGGCTTTGGGACCCTGCACCCACGTGGAAGACCCAGAAGAGACTTCTGGCTCCTGGCTTCAGATTGACTCAGCTCTGGCCGTTGCAGTCACTTGGGGAGTGAATCATTGGACGGAAGATCTTCCTCTCTGTCTCTCCTCCTCTCTCTATAGCTGACTTTATAATACAAATAAATAACTCTTAAAAAAAATTAGAATTGCTTTAAAAAAAGAAATGTGGAACTGCCCTGGAGGGAGCAGGACGGGTCAGGTTGAATGTGGACTTGGCCATCTCTTGCCTTGGCGTGGGAGAATCGAACCTTGGACTCCATGTCAGAAAGCAAGATTAAAAAAATCCTGAGCGGAAATAAGAATTCTTCTTTTCCTTACTTGCCCTTCCATCTACGAGGAATCTTCAGAGAGTCTAGAAAATATGTATGATGGAATAATTTTGATTGGCTCTCATTTTTTTTCTGCCCCAGAATCAACTTGTTTAATTCCATTTTCCAGAAGCTTTTCAAGTCCCCTTTAATTCTACCCTCTTGCCTTCTCTCATCCTGACCTGGCCCAGTGAGTTAAGACTGTCAGTGGGCTGTCCCATGGTGCCTGCTGTTCTATCAGGTAGCTTGGTGCCAGCGTCTCAACAACGTACGTTACTGCACCACTGACATTGGGTGAGTGCTTGGCCTGATGCTTAAGATGCCAGCTGGGGTGCCCGCATCCCATGTGGAGGGCCCGGGTTTGATTCCAGCTTCCTGCTCATGCCAGCCCTGAGGGGCAGCAGGGGCACACCCCAGGGAGTCGAGTCTGACACCTGCACAAGAAGGCGGTTTGCGTTTGTGGCTGCTGACATCGGCTTGCTCAGATCTGGAATCAGTGGGCATCTGGGAAGTAAACTTAGAGGTGCTGTGCTATCTGCTGTTCCTCCTTTTCTCTCTCTCATTTTTTTTTTTCAATTATAAATTACATTGCATTATGTGACATAGTTTTATAGGTACTGGGATTCCCCCCAACTCCTCTCCAAACCCTCCCCCCATGGTGGATTCCTCCACCTTCTTGCATTACCACAGTTCAAGTTCAGTTGAGATTCTTTCATTGCAAGCATGTACCAAGTATAAAGCCCAGCATCTTATTGTCCACAGAAGTTCAACGTTTTCTTGGGGAGACCATCTCCGGTCTGACCTCCTTTTCTCTTGATCTCTTTCTCTCTGCCTCCCAAATAAATGTATACATAATTAAAAAAAAAATTAAAAACATTGGGCTTGGCACTGTAGCCCAGTGGCTAAATCCTCAGTTTATAACCGTCAGGATCCTATATGGGAGTTGGTTCATGTCCCCACTCCTCTATTTCCCATCCAGCTCCCTGCTTGTGGCCTGGGAAAGCAGTGGAGGATGGTCCAAAGTTTTGGTACCCTGCACCCACATGGGAGACCCAGAAGAGGCTCTGGGATCTTGGCTTCGGGTCAGCTCAGTTCCAGCTGTGTTGCAAACACTTGGGGGAGTGAACCAGCAGACAGAGGATCTTTCTGTCTTCCTTCTCTCTGTATATCTGCCTTGCCAATAATAATAATAATAATAAAAGAAATCTTTTGGAAAAAAATTAAAAACAGTGACTCCTCAGTGTCCAGAGCAGGTTGAACAAATTCGCATTCTTGGATTAATAACGTGTTCTATTCTGCCAAACAGAAGGAAGAGAATCAAGTCCCACCGCCTGGGAGCAGTTACAATGGGGATCCTGACATCTGCTGTGCTTGTTTGCTGCCCCCAAATAGGAGCGTTCCAACAACACATTAGCCCGGGGCCGGGAGAATGATCCTTGTGACCCCAGGATGACAGCGGAGGAGGGCAGGTGGGACCCCTGACATGCATGCTTCAGCGGGGGAATGAAGCTGACTTTGCTTCTTAGTTTCAGAAATCCTGGGGTGTCAGGAATGAGTAGTTGGTGTTGCGTCACCTATTGAGGAATTGGTGATAACATGTGCTAAAGGTTAAGTGGGTAGTTAAAAGTTGGGTCAAATGTACAAATGAAACATTTTTTTTTTTTCATACACTGTTGACACCACTTCCCCCTCTGTTGCCTTAAATATTTGATCTCAGTTTCGCCACCCCTTATCACTGGTTTTTTTTTTTTTTTGTAATGGTTGCTTTCCAAGGCTATGCTGCCATCTTCTGGAAGAGCTTGAAATAGCAAGAAATCTGATGGACGTGGTGAAGCCACTTGTAACACTGGCATTCCAAACTGGAGCCAATAGTTTGAGTCCTAGATAGTATGTTTTCCATGCAACCTCCTGCTAATATGCCTGGAACGGCCAAGGACGATGGCCCTGTCACTCATGTGGCCAACCCAGGTGCCTCCAGAAATGACATCGTGATGTGGGTCATGTCTTGCCGAGCCCTGCTCCGTCTTACTTTAGGCATTCTGCCTCTCTGATCTTTCACGACAGACATCTAAATTCATTACTGAGAAATGTCTATGCTTTTCTCTTTTGCAAGTCCAGTCATCTTTATCATCTGATGTCAAGTGTGATCTAATAAGTTAGCAATCTCAACAGTAGACCTGCCACTTTTTTCAGGAATCTGCTCTGGAGTTTGCTGTGGATGAATAAATCCTGGGTGATGAGAGGGCCTAGGGCGCAGGAGGTCCTCCCAGCGGTGCTCCTTTTGCCAGAGGCCAGGCAGGAGCATGAGAGCGCAGCTTCTCTCTGCTGACTCAGCTCTGGGTTTGCTGTCAGAGAATAAGCAAGGCAGACACTGTTGCTGGAATACGTTCCCAGGCTGTCCCAGTCTCCATTCTTAAGAATTCAAAGCAAAGGGCCCAGTGCGGTAGTCTAGTGGCTAAAGTCCTTGCATTGTATGTGCTGGGAGCTCATATGGGTGCCGGTTCTAATCCTGACAGCCCTGCTTCCCATCCAACTCCCTGCTTGCGGCCTGGGAATACAGTAGAGGATGGCCCAAAGCCTTGAGACCCTGCACCCACGTGGGAGACCTGAAGGAGACTCCTGGCTCCTGGCTTTGGATCGGCTCAGCTCTGACTACTGCAGCCACTTGGGGAGTGACTGATCAGATGGAAGGTCTTCCTCTCTGTCTCTCTTCCTCCCTGTATATCTGACTTTGTAATAAAAATAAATAAATCTTTAAAAAAACACATTTAGTTGCAGGGAAACCTGTGATGACAGACATATAGCAGAGAAGAATCCACACATTTGTGGGCAAAGGGTGAGAGGAAGAGCCATGTGGCCACAAGGAGAGAGACGGCCTCTGGGAGCCATGAGGAGAGAGACAGCCTCTGGGAGCCATGAGGAGAGAGACGGCCTTTGGGAGCCATGAGGAGACAGCCCCGGTGGCCACGAGGAGAGAGACACCTCCAGGGAACATGAGAAGAGAAATGGCCCGCGTGGCCATGAGGAAACAGCCCCTGGTTTGAACCCTTTTATTGGCCAGGGAGCATTGCCATGATTGAGAGTGACTCGGGTCAGGTGCATATGATGTTCCCTGGGAAGGTTTTCATGGTGTCTGCATGTTGCCATGTGAGTAGGTGCATCATGGGAAAGTGGCTGTTTCGGGGGTGAGAGGGGGTGGAGTCTGGGTGCAGGGCTAGAGACAGGAGTGTGGGAACCTCACAGCTCTGGGACTCCCCGACATCCTGCCTGGCCTCCATCCATACCAGTCCTACCTGCGCACCACAGGCACTCACACCCCCTGTTTTATCTGCCCTTAGCACGTATTGTTACATGACACGGTGCTGTGCCTCATTTACTGGGTAAGCTCATGAAGGCGCATTTTTGCCTCTCTGGTTGAGTGCTTAGGTATTCCAAAATTGCTCGCGTAGCAGCTGAAGTCCTCGGCCCATCCTCTCTTTCCTCGGAGGCTGAGGGTCCTGCTGTTCTGGCCTCCATTTCCCAGAGCGGGCAGAAAGCTCTGCACGTGGCTCTGCCAGGCCCGTGAGCAGGCACTCACCTGTGCCTGGCCTGTCTGCTCCCATCACCAGGGCAGCTACGCAATGCAGGGAACCAGGGAGGAACAAAAGTCAACAGGACCCGGTGGAAGCGCGCAGTTCCACAACTGACCAAATGCCTGATTGTATTCCTAGTACATTACCATAAATTCCATTACACATTGCGTGGCTTTTGACTCACAATATCCTCTCCTGCACGAGACACAAGGGTGCAAGGAGCTGCTGTAACTGCATCTGATGGTGAGCTTTCTGAACCAAAAGCAGAGCTTGGTCTGTTCCTGCAGAAGTTACACACACACACACTTTCTACGTAAATGAGAATCCACCTCACCTTCTTCACAGGGGAAATGGGGTAAGGCTGGTCGCACTTCACAAACCCGAGTGAAGAATAAAATAAGGTTGTATGCAAAGCGCTGAACACAGCATCTGAACCGTTTAGCACTATAAGGGTGAACGGGGAGAAAGACGGTCTCCCCTCCCAGCTGCCACCCCACAGAAGCTCAAGATCAGAAGCGTGAGCGTAGCTCCACCTCCTTCGCTGGAATTCCTTCCGTCCAGCCCGTGTTATTCAAGACGCCTCCCTGTCTCCCAAGACAGTTTGTTTGGGTTTTGTTGCCACCTGCCCTTCTTTCGCGGTCCCAAAACCTGCGGACAGGTAGGTTTTCTTTCAGGTCCTCGGCCGTTTCTGCGACGTAGCATGCTGGGAGTTGTAGTCCAAATCCTCTCCTCTGCTTCCACAGAGCGACTACACTGGGAACCTGGAACTACAAATCCCAGCGTCCTCCGCGCCACGCGGAAGGCGCACAACTGCCCCGGGCTGAGAGCACTAAAGATGGCGGAGGCCGCTGCGCGCCGCCCGCTGCCCTCTGCCCGCGGTGAGGCACTCGCGTGGTACAAAGGAGCCCAGAACGCCTCTCTTCGGAGCTAAGGTGCTCGGGGACATGTCGCGAGGCCGGAGAGGCTAGGGGGCAAATATTCTTAGGACGTAGCACTTGTGTGAACCTGAAAACTGGTCCCCAGGTGTCCGGTCCTTTTGAGCCCAGCCGTTGTCCCGCGTAGGACCCCTTCCTTTACGCTCTGCGGGAACCGATGTGGGGAAAGTGGTGAGGAAGGACGTGAGGACTCCTCCTCTCCTCTCAGGAATATCCCGGAGCTTCTGGACAGGCAGTTACTCTGGCGACCGAGGAGCCGGTCCGCGAGCCCAGGCTGGCCATGAAGGGCGACCCTTTGGCTCCCGCAGCCCCCCTCAAGGGCCTCGGGGGACCCCTGCGGAGCAGCGAGCCGGCACGCATCGGCCCGGCCCGATCTCGGGCCGTGGATCTGCTGGAGGAGGCGGCCGACTTGCTGGTGGTGCACCTGGACTTCCGCGCGGCGCTGGACACCTGCGAGCGTGCGTGGGAGAGCCTGGCCAGCGATGGCCTGCGGGAGGAGGAGGAGGCTCCTGGCACGTAGGTGCTAGCCCCGCAGCCTGTTTCTGGAAGCTTCTGGGGAGGGAGCAGGGTCTTTCGTGAGAGGACAGAGATTCGGCTTGCATGCCCTCTTTAGAGGAGGCGGCCCAGGCATTGCGCGATGAGGAAGAGGTCCCATGGGGCGGGTGACAGCTTGGTGGGAATCCACACGTGTTCTTTGCTCCCCTTTGAAGCGCAGCGTAGTGTGATAGGAAGGCTGATGGTTTGTTTGGCATCTGTCAGTAAGCAGGTGGCTGGAATCTCAGGATTGTTCCCCACTGACCCTGTCTGTACCGCGATGGTCCAGTGGCGTGTAAGGTTCAAGAATGAATCCGGAGAAAGCTTTGCTCCTAGCTTGATCCATCCTTGTGTGGCAGTTGAGGGCATTGTTTCCCCGGGCATAGTTCTGTCCTCACAGTCTGACGAGCCAAGGAGGCCTGGGCGCGTTTTTAGGTGGCGGTAGGTTGCTGGTTACAATGAACGCGAAAGGTTTTGCTTCTGGGTGTCCGAGGTGCCCTTACAAGGCAATAGTAAAAGACCAGTTTTACAGACCCGGTAGCTACACTTAGCCAGAAATCTTGTTCCAAGGTTTGCTATGCACTTAGCTCCACCTCTTTTTTTTTCAAAAACTTTTTGTTGTGGGCATGTAGTCTGTATACCAAGGAGTGCACAGGTAAATGAGTCTTTTTGCTGTTGTTCTTTAAGCACGCTCCTATCCACCACGCAGGGAGCAAAACATCGCTAAGTACTGTAAGAATCCTCCTCTCGCTCCCTCCGTTTCTTCATGTGAGAAATCGGAGTGTATTGTTGTTCCCCGGAGTTCCAAAACTTTCCATCCACCTGGTATGATCAACTTCCACTTATTCCTGATTGTAGCCGATGGGAAGGCGTGCATTCAGCAAGAGATATACAGAAACTTTTAGCTCCTAGCGGGAGGGCAGGCTGAGGGTGACTGTCAGGCCCAGCCGCTTCCCCTGGGTGAGCTTGGCGGGGGTGGCTGCTGGAAGGAGGAGGCAGAGAGGCGTGGACCCCCCCGGGGTGGAGGTGGCAATGCAGGTGGAAGGGCACGCCTTCTAAACCCAGTCTAAACCCAGTCGCTCCTCCTGCTGACAGCTGTGTGGAGGTGCAATGCTCCCTGTGTGTGGTGGGGATCCAGGCCCTGGCGGAAATGGACCGATGGCAGGAAGTCCTCTCCTGGGTCCTTCGGTATTATAAGGTCCCTGAAAAACTGCCTCCCAAGGTCCTGGAGCTGTGGTAAGTTCTTGCTGCTCGTACAGAGTAAGTCCAGAGAACTTGTGTGTCCTATTCTGAATTAGGGTCTGGTAGCTGCTTATTCCCATTCCTTATCATTTCCCTGAAAATCTAACCATTTGTTGTCCTTCCCTGTTTTTTTAGACCCCAAAAGATAGCAATAAAGGAAGAGGGAGGGGGAATTCAGTAGTGGGGTAGAGAAAGCAAGCAGGAGACACAGAATGGGAGAACAGAGACACAGCCGGGAGACCTGCCTGCTACTTTCTGGGAATATCTGCTTTTTAAAATGTTAATTAACTTGAGCCCGACATGATAGCGTATTGGTTAAAGTCCTCACCTTTACACGCCGGGATCCCATATGCGTGCCGGTTCTAATCCTGGCGGCCCCGCTTCCCATCCAGCTCCCTGCTTGTGGCCTGGGAAAGCAGTCGAGGATGGCCCAAAGCTTTGGGACCCTGCACCCATGTGGGAGACCCGGAAGAAGCTCCTGGTTTCTGGCTTCAGATCGGCTCAGCTCCAGCTGTTGTGGCCACTTAGGGAGTAAATCATCAGACAATATCTTTCCTCTCTGTCTCTCCTCCTCTCTGTATATCTGACTTTGCAATAAGAATAAAACTGCATCTTTAAAAAAAAATTAACTAACTTATTTTACTTCTTTGAAACAGACAAAGATAATAAGAGAGAGAGCCGCAGAGAGATCTCCCACCTTCACTTCCTAAATGCTCACAGTGGCTCTGCTGGGCCAGGCCCAAACTGGGAATGCCCTGCAGGCCTCCCAGGAGGATGACAAGGATCCAAGTGTCTGAGTGATTAGCTGCTGCTCCCCAGGGCAGGCTTTAGTTAGAATCAGGGGCAAGGGTGGGATTCGAACCTGGACACTCCGATAGGGGGTGCAGGTGTGCCACAGTGGTGGCTTAACCACTGAGCCAGATGTGCCTGCCCTGCAGTTATAACAGTGGCAGTGAGCCCTAGGGAAGGGCTGGGGCATCTGAGAGAAGTTGGCATTTGAGGAGCATAATAGTGAAGAGAAATAAAACAACTTTGGAGAACTGATGTTTTTTTCTTTCTTTTTTTTTTTTTTTGTTGGGGGGAATTGGATTTTTTTGGGGGGTGCAGCATTCTTTTATACAGCAAAATGGAAGCATCTGGAATCATGCTGGATGCGGTCACTGCCTGGCTCCAAGACCCAGCTAATCAGGGCCTTGCAGAGTATGGGGCTTTGGCAGCCCTGCACCTGCAGCGAGTGCTGCTGCCCCTGGGCCACCTGTCCCAGGCGGAGGAGCTGCTGGCAGGCTCTGCAGCGTTGGACGAGGAGCAGCGGCGGGGTGTACTGCACGCCATTCATTCAGCAAAGCAGCGGCAGACGCAGGAACGCTCAGGCCTTCCACCCACGCAGAAGCAGGAAGGTAAGGTGTGATCCCCAGGTGGCCTCTGGAAAGTGAAGTTGTGGGCTCTGCCTGCACCTGCATCCATCATGGTTCTCCTAGTAACTTGGGAGCAGTTCTTTTTTTGGGGGTGGGGTGGGGTGGAGAATGAATAACTTCTGAGTCAGAAAAAAAAAAATCACAGCCCCTCTCAAGTTGGCAAAGGCCGGAAAATCTTCCTGTGGGGAGAGCTCACAGATCCTATTTTCTTGGACGTCACATTGTTGCTGGGGTCTGATGAATTACCTGTTTAGGGTCTCCGCCCTAGGTTTTGCCTTCATGGTGCTGCCTGGGTAGGATGCTACTATGCCTTTAGGCGCTGGCCTAAATGCACAGGGCGCTGAGAGGTACTGGGGATGGCCAAAGAAAAATTAACTATTGCTATAACTTGGTATCTTGAGTTAGGAGATAAAAATTCAGAAAGTTCAGCATTGGGTCCTCCCGCCCAAGTGTCCGTCTGCCTTCACACGGTGGCGCTCTGGAGACTGTCCCTGTTGGTTGATGTCTACCCTCGCCCATTTGAGAGCAGTTTTACACAGTGGTTCTACGGGGAGACCACTGTGTAGGCCTGATACCACCTGCCTGGCTAGTGACGTACAAGGGGCTGTTCGGTTATCAGGGAGCTGCAAGGATCTTGACCCTGGTCTCTGAGTCCTTTTAGCTTCGTCTCAAATGCTAATTAACCCGTGTGGCTTCCAAGGATGGAAAATTCATACTGTCCTGCAGCAACATAGTCTCTACATGGACAGTTCTCTGGGGAGTCCTTACACCGAGCAGGGTTTCCCAGAGGAGTTTTTGCTCACTAAGCATTGATCTTTGACCTCCTGGGAGTGTACAGAATAGACTTTGTTCATTTAAGAGACGTGCGCATGCGTGTCGTCAGTGGGGCAGGTGCAGTGGCTCGTCACGCTAGTGCTCTCTAGGTAGGGCACTGGTCTGTGTCTCTGCGACAGGCAAAGCTGGGAAAGGCCGAAGTCGGGAGCTTGGGACTCCTGCCTGCTGTCCCATGAGGGTGGCACAGATCCAAGCGCCCGCCAGGATGCCCAGCCGGCAGGACGGGGCGGGGTGGGGAGGGTGGGGGCTGCCATGCAGGCTCTGTGATGTAAAGAGTATGAAGAGCACGGGCACCAGAGCCATCGAGGCAAAGAGGTGATAGTCTGGCGGTGCAGGCTGCCCTTAGGACACGATTTTGGATTTCCTGAAGCAACCGCTCTGTGAGTTGGATGAGGAAAACATCCTCACTCCCTTCTGTTCAGCTCTCGACAGTGAACTTGAGAGCCAGGGAAGCTGTTTCTTGTAATTTACTGTGAATTTCCTCCGTGCCCTCACCAGGCGCCCTCTCCCACAAGTTCCAGTCGCTCCTGATGTTGCTGCGCCAGCTGTGGGACGCGGCGGTGAGCCACTTCTTTGCTCTGCCCTTCAAAAAGAGCCTCCTGGCCGCCCTAATCCTCTGTCTCTTGGTGGTGAGGTTTGATCCAGGTGAGTGATGGGACCTTGTCCCCTCTGCCATCCTTCCTGGGCCTTTGGGAGCAGGTACTTTTTTTTTTTTTTTTTTTAAGATTTATTTATTTATTTATTGGAAAGTCAGATACACAGAGAGGAGAGACAGAGAGGAAGATCTTCCAAGTGAGCGCAACGGCCGGTGCTGTGCCGATCCAAAGCCAGGAGCCAGGAACTTCTTCTGGGTCTCCCACATGGGTGCAGGGTCCCAAAGCCTTGGGCCATCCTCAGCTGCTTTCCCAGGCCACAAGCAGGGAGCTGGATGGGAAGTTGGAGCTGCTGGGATTAGAACCGGCGCCCATATGGGATCCTGGTGCGTTCAAGGTGAGGACTTTAGCTGCTAGGCCACGCCGCCAGGCCCGGGAGCAGGTACTTTACAACACGCCCTTCCAGGCTCCCTGGTAGGATTGAAGGCACTTGTTGCAACACCCCTCCTTGTGTCTCCTTTACAAGGAGGAGCTACTAGACCTAAGCAAGAGTTACTCCGCGACCCCCAAAGGAAAGAGCAGGCTGACCTGCCTCCACCCTGTCTTGGTGGCCCCAACACTGTGGGAACATCAGCATTGAAAACAGAAATCTTTGTTATAACAGTTTGACTTAATCCAGTCAAACGTTACTGTCTAATTACATGTTCACGCAAGGGGCCGGGCGTTGTGGTGCAGTGGGTTAAGCTGCTGGACCACTGCCCCTCCTCCACTCTCCGGGACCTGGCGTGGCCTCTGTGGGTGAGTCCTGCTTTGTCTTCCTGCTGGTGCACATCCTGTAGCCCGGCTGGGAGCCGCAGATGAATGGCTCCCGCAGGTGAATGAATGGCTCCCGCAGGTGAATGGCTCCCGCAGATGAATGGCTCCCGCAGGTGAATGGCTCCCACAGATGAATGGCTCCCGCAGGTGGAGCCGGCTTGCCCTTGGCCCCCACCTGTTGTCAGTACTTTGGGAAACGAACCAGAGTCCGGAGTGTCTCTCACACTCTGTCCCGCTCTCTCTGTCTCTGCTGCTCAAATGCATTTTTTAAAAAAATCACTTCAAAAACACAAGTATTAACTCAAAATATGTTATATTGTCGATCAGTCGGTCACACATTTTAGAAAATGTGGAAGATAAAAATGGAAAGGAGAAAGTTAGAATAATAGCTGGACTATCCAACTTTTTCTGTTACAAATATTCTTGGTAGTTTTGTACAGCAAACACTTTTGAGCATGGCTTTCAATAGCTAAATGATATTCCCATTTTTAGAATTCATCCAGCAGCCTCTGTTTTGATTGCATACCTCCCTGTGAGGTAGAAATGAGCTTCCTGGAGATATTTGGGAACCGCCTCTGCTGTCTGCCAAGGAGTAAGCCTGCAGCAGTGTGGGCGCTGTGCCAGGGGCAGCTCCTCCTGCAGCAGTGTGGGCGCTGTGCCAGGGGCACCTCTTCCTGCAGCAGTGTGGGCGCTGTGCCAGGAGCAGCTCCTCCTTTAGGTATTTTTCTGTGTAAACTCTCATTTACGACCTTCTCTCTCTCCTCGTGGATTTACACATAGAATGAGATTATCCAACTTTCAAAATTGAAGGACAAACTAGAACTTGTTATTCCTGTTACTCTTTTTTGCTTTAATTTTTTGATTGAGAAACCTAAGGACCAAGGACCTAAAATGGTTAGCCCAGGGTCCCGCACTTTGGTCTGAATGTCTCTGCTTTCCAAAAAGTTCACTAGGTAAGGTGTCAGAAACGCTAAGGAGTCTGTGTTCACCCTGCTTTACCCTGTGACTTGGAAAAGCTTGGTAAACATGTGGGTATTTGTGGTTTCCCACAAACCCTGATTTCCAAAGCGGAGCAACGGGAAGCCATTTGAGCTGTCCTTTTGCACGGCCAGGCACAGCTTACTTCTTCAGAGGCGCCCTGGCCCAGCAGCCCCAAGCCACAGTGGCAGGCTTGACTGACTGCAGTGGGACGGAAGCCTGCTGGTGGCTGTGAGTAGAACCTGGTTGGAAACACGCAACAGGGGGCCGGCATGGTGGTGGGGCGCGCTAATTCTTTACCCGTAGCACTGGCATCCCAGGAAGATGGCGGGTTCATGTCCCGGCTGCTCCACTTGTGAGCCAGCTCTCTGCTTGTGGCCTGGTGAAAGCAGTGGTGCATGGCTCAGTTTTATGAAAAATAAAATGTACTGGATTGGTTTGTTTACCTTGTTTGATCTACTGATATTCTATTTAAAGAGAATTTATATTTCTTTCATAAAGAAGAAAAGAAATCGGAGAAAGCTAACGACAGCTGCCCTTGTTTCATGCTTGCTTGCTTGCTTTTTTTTTTTTTTGAGATTTATTTGTTTATTTATTTTATTGGAAAGGCAAATTTACAGAGAGAAGGAGAGACTGGCTCATGCAAGGCGAGGATTTAGCCCCTGAGCCATCACACTGGGTCCCATTTTCCTGTTTTTGTCACAAGTTAGATTGGAATGTAATAAACCTGAGCTTTTCTTCTCAGCACAATTTTCTTTTTTTCTCAGATCATTCTGAAGCAAGTGAGGAAAATATATCCCAGCAAATGTGTTCTAGAGATAGTGAAATGATTGAATTTATTTGAAAGGCATGGGGTTGGGCAGGAAACCTTGCTGTCACCTTCTGGCTTATCTGTAAAGCGCTGGGTTGGGCCAGGCTGAGGTTTTAACTACTGCCACACCCGTTGCCTCCTAGGGTGTGCGTTAGCAGGAAGCTGGGATCTGGAGCCTGGAGTCCAACCATCCCAGGCACTCTGACAGGGGATGTGGGAGGCTAGAGATAACACTGGCACCAAAACAGGCTTTCAAATAACCATACGTGACCCCCAGGTGGCACGGGAGGCGGGCTTGGGCACGGCCGGAGGAGGGGTGTAGGCAGGCACTCAGCAGTCTTCCCTTTGCCTGGCAGCTTCCCCGTCTTCCCTGCCCTTCCTCTACAAGCTGGTGCAGTTCTTCGAGTGGATCCGCAAGGCCAGGTTTCCTCGCCTCTACCAGCTGCCCATCCGTGACTGAAGGGCCTTCGCTGTCCACCTCCACCCACAGCCACGGCGGTCTAGCAGTCCTGGGAGGCCTGGTTCCTGCTGCAGCTGGGCCCTACCTAATTCTGGAGAAAGCTGACGTAGTCAGGTGGTTGTGTCGTACTGTTTGAGCGCCCTGCCCTTGGCACTGCACTCTGACCGACCTTGGCCATGACCAGTGCCAACAGCGGGCTGTACACAGCTCCTCAGGAACAGTGGCCCCTGTTGGCTAAAGGAGGGGTTTGGGAACAGGGAGCGTGTCCCTGAGACAGTCCAGCTTGTTGGCAGAGCGTGGAGGCTTATTCGGAGAGTTAACGGCCTGAACATCCAGAAAGATCCTGACAGGATGGCCTTGGCTTTTTCCTTTCTGGAAAAAACTTGCTTTTGAAATGGTCCCTCCAGGAAGTACCTCGCGACGCTGGAGACCTGAGCGAGCCTCTTCCCTAACTCTCGCCATCGTCTGGCATCACTGCGTGTCAGTGTGCTGGCTGCGGTCGTGCAGGGGGTTAGGAGCTGCTGGGGGCGGGGGGGAGCTCTCACTGCTCACACTGGGGGCGTGTCTGGCAGCACCGCCTGGCTGACTGCTGAGAGCAAGATGAGACTGCCCGGCCCTGTCACCACGGAAGCGATCTTGCTCAGCGCCTCTTGTTCTTCGTCTCGGTTTTCCAGCGTGGCGGGGAGCCCGAGTCCTGCTCCGCGACGTGCGGTGCCTCTGCATACTGCTGCCTGCCAGCCTGCGCCCTCCTCCCACCCTGCGGCTTCTGTCTCATGGCCGTTTCACCGGGGTCTGCCTCTATGTTTGCCCCCTTGGGTCCCACTGTTGGCAGCTTCTCTCCTTTCCGTGTCCTGTTCTACTAGCTATGTCCTGGTGTTTGTAGAATGCCCAACTTTTTTTTTTGTTCGTGTGGCCTTAAAAAGCAGGCCAACCCCAGAGACTGATGAGCTGAAAATGGAACTGGGTAACCAGGTGATCTGGAAGGGGTGGAGGTTGGGCAGAAAGGACACATGGAGTTTGAAGGCAGCGAGCCACAGAAGCCTTCGGGAGGACGTGTAGGAACCTTAGCGTGCTTTTTTTTTTTTTCTTTTAACATTTATTGGAAAGGCAGATTTACAGGGAGAAGGAGAGACAGGGAGAAAGACCTTCTGTCTGCTGGTTTACTCCCCAAGTGGCTGCAACAGCCAGAGCTGAGCCAATCCAAAGCCAGGAGCCAGGAGCCTCTTCCGGGTCTCCCACGCAGGTGCAGGGTCCCAAAGCTTTAGACTGTCCTGCGTTGCTTTCCCAGGCCACAAGCAGGGAGCTGGGTGGGAAGTGGAGCAGCTGGGACATGAGCCAGCGCCCGTGTGGGATCCCAGCACACACAGGCGAGGACTTCAGCCACTAGGCTCCCTTGCTCGGCCCGAGCCTTAGCGTTTGAGGAGTTGAAATGGTTAATGTTTTTCTCCCTGTCCACAGAAAACTTGGCGCAGAGCACTGTTGGGCTGTCCAGGTGGGAAAAGGCTTCCAGCAGGGGGCAGCCAGGCTGCCCCACGCTGGGATCCCAGTCTGTGGGTGCCAAGAATATAGGGAATGCCTACTGGCTTTTCTGAAAAGTAGGTTGATTTTTCTGGATTTTTAAGCCAACAGCGTTCTTTAGAAAAAATGAAGTGCAGGCTGGGCCACAGCGCTTGTCCATCCGTGTAGGGGGCTGGGGCTGAGCTGTCCACACGGCTGTGTCCACCACTGAGTGCACTGGCTGCTGCAGTGGCCACACTCAACCTGGCCCTGCAGTGGCTGGCGCACACACACAAGTCAAGTCTGAGTTCACCCCAGGTGAGATTCCTTGGGGGACTCAGCCACCAGACGGTTGGACTCAGACCCCAGGCACAGGGGAGGTTACAGCACGTGTGCTCCAGCCTTGGGGTGCATGTGTTGGGCCTCGGCCCAGATGTGTTTTGTGTGACATGCCAGCTCATCTAGGCCAGTAGAGGACATTGACCGCCTCATCGGAGGATGGAGAAAGCAGACTGGACAATTCCAGCCAAGCTTCGTAGTCTGTCCCTGGGTGTGTGGACACGCTAAGGTGCACTTTGTCAACCAGTAGATCTTGGGGAAATTTTTCAACCCTGGTGTGTGACAAAGCTGGCGATGTATCAGAACTGTTAAAATGACTCAAGCAGCACCCTCGGAACACTCTTTCCCCACATCAGGGTCTCTAAGGCGTCATCAAATGACTGCCCCCATCCCCGGTGCTGGTGTAGTTTGATAGCAAGGAATGCCCCCCATCCCTGGCTCAGGAGGGGGAAAAAAAAAACCCAAAACTGAAACATTTGTGCCACCCGTCTTCCTGTATATCCGACCCTGCCCTCGGTAATTACAGGCCCACAGGGACTTGCATGCATCTTAACTGTGCAAACAGTATTATTAAAGAAAATAAAAGAATTTTAAAAAAAGTAAACTCCACAGCCCTTGGGATTACATATGAATTTCCAGAGTGTGGTCCATTTTACAGAACAATGAGTGCTCTTTTGTAAGGGTTTCTAACTAGAACCTAGAAGACTGGGAGAAGGGAATTGGGTAAGGTTTGAGATCCCTCCTTCTTTTAGAATGTTCTACTATTCCAGTTAAAACTCTAATGACTTCTCGTTGCTCACTATTCAGCCTCTTAATGGGGTTTAAGGTTCCTGCCACTGGGCCGGGTTAACAGGAGGCCCTTGTTCCTGTGTAACTGCCCTCTGGCTTCCCGGCCAGTTTTCTGAACACTACCCGCTGCCTCAGGGCTCGGTGCCTTTAGCTCGTGCTGTTCCTTTCTGCGGGCCTTTCCAGAACTTGCTGTTTGCCTGGGTAACTCCTTAAGCTTCTGGACTTACTCAGGGGTTAACTCTGGGATTGCTCTTTGGACCCTCCTTGCCCCCATTTCTTGGCCTCCTGTGTTGGTGACCTAATCCTGGAATCCTTTGTTGCTTGCAGTAACCGAGCTCTCTGACTTTGGGGAGTGTGGCTTGTGGCAGTGCTTACTAAGAATCGGGCTCAGGTCTCTGCTGTACCTGCTGTGCGAGTGGGAGTGGGGGGGAGGCAGCCTCTCTCAGCCTCAGGCTCTCTTCTGTTCATCCTTCTCGCAGGGACGAGCAAATGAAGTGTACGTGTGATATGCTTGGAACCCAAGTGGGAATCCTGCAAGTGAGCGCTGTCTCCCGGTACCTCATGTGCCGGCTGAGTGCCGGGAGTTAGCAGGTGCTCGCCAGGATTGCAGTGGGTCGATAGAACTGATGCAACAAGTCTGTGTGCTTTTGGTGACTTATTTGGGGTTTGTGTTACGAAGAAGACCTGACCATACCCAACTCATTTTTCTGCCCTCTGGGCCTCCTCAGCCTTGTGCTGCAGGCCCCGGGTGTGTGTCTGCTCACGTCCTGAGCTTTGCAGTCCTGTCTAATGACCATTCCCAACTTCGTACCTAGTCGGGGAAAGAACTGAGAACCAAAACTGCTCCTGTGACCTTGAACTTTTCTGAAACTGTATAGGCTGGTGCTCACATTGATCCTCAACTCTGAACTTGATTAAATCAAAATTGGAGAGCTGACTTTCTGGTTAGTCTCACGGAATAGGCATTAGCTACATGAGGCAAGTCCGTATTGAGATGTCCTGTATTTATAAGCTACTGTAATTATACTGGTTTTCAAAGACCTAGTACTGGGGAAAAAAAAATGGAAATCAGTAGTTTTAAAAAATTTTGGTTGCATGTTGAAATGGTAATATTTTGGCTATATTGAATTAAATCAATTCATGAAATAAAATTTCAACTTTTTAAAAAATTGAGGCTCCCAGAGTATTTATTAATTACACATATGGTTCACATTATATTTTTGTTGGATAATGCAGTCCATAACAGGATGAACACACTCTAGCAAGTTCAGAGATTGTGGCAATCAACACGCACGGTGGGATTCTGATGTCAACTTGGAAAGGTTGTCTGTTGAAGAACTGGGTGCAGACTGTTTTTAAAGAAATGGAGACCCAGAGAGGTAGGCTGATTTGCCCCAGTCACGGAGCCTGAAAAAGATCTCATCTCCTTGTTATCAGGCCGAGTGCCCCTTTCAGCACAGTGCAGTCTGAAAGGCCTTCCCTTCTGCCGCTCCCTGGCTGAAGCTGACTGCTACTGTGCAAGTATTGCCTCGACTGGTTCTGTGGAGTTCTGAAAGGATGAAACAGATATTTATGTGTAAGTTAGAGCTGAGAGAAAGAGGGAGGGAGGGACAAAGAGAGGGAGCGTTGGGGGAATCGAGTCCTCTATCTGCTGGTTCGTTCTCGCCCGAGCCGGGAGCCAAGAACTCCACCTGCTTTCTCACGTGGGCGACAGGGCCCCCACACTTGAACTATTCTCTGCTGCTCTTACTAGGGCATTAACAAGGGGACTGGGTCATGAACTCAGATACCACAAGTGGCGGCTTTACCGGCTGTGCCACGATATTGGCCCCCAAATGGCTACTTTTAAATTTAGAGGTGCAGGGGCCCGGTGGCGTGGCCTAGCACCTAAAGTCCTCTCCTTGAACGCGCCAGGATCCCATATGGGCGCCGGTTCTAATCCCAACAGCTCCAACTTCCCATCCAGCTCCCTGCTTGTGGCCCGGGAAAGCAGTCGAGGACAGCCCAAAGCTTTGGGACCCTGCACCCGTGTGGGAGACCCGGAAGAAGTTCCTGGCTCCTGGCTTTGGATCAGCATAGCATCGACCATTGCGCTCACCTGGAGACTAAATCATCGGGTGGAAGATCTTCCTCTCTGTCTCTCTTCCTCTCTGTATATCTGACTTTCCAATAAATAAATAAATCTTTTAAAAAAAATTTAGAGGTGCTAAGGAGAGCAGAAATGTATATTCCTCTTTCTGTGGTCAGATGGTAGGCTGGGGGAAGTGGTGAAGTAGAGAGGAGAGATGAGTGTAGTGACCCCAGGGGTACAGTGGACGGCAGCAACGCAGTCCCTGCGGGAGGACTTGGGCTTTTGCTTCCAGGTAAGTTAGAAGGAATGAGGAAATGTTTCATAGCGTTATCAAAATGATCAATATTCCTCACACGTGTGTATTCTTGTGTTTTTGTAGATTTTATATTAGAGTTTTACATGTGTGATACAAAATTCAATAGTTACAAAAGGGTGTTTATGGAAAGCAAGGTCTGGCCCCACCCTGCTCCCCGTACGCCCTCTGCCCTTCCCCCAGCTTCCTATCTAGATGCAGTTACTGTTGCAAGACTCCTTCCAGAAATATTCTCTGACATTCGGTTTTTCTCTCTTATACAATTGACAATGTTACACTACATCTGTGCACACTTAGCTACACTCTTCTTCAAGAATTAGAAATGTTTGTCCCTCCCAGTATGTCCAGCGCCCTGTCCTTAATAGCTGTGTGTTGTTCCAGTGTCTAGTCCCATCACAGAGCTTTTCCTTTCGGAATAGGTTGACATCTCTCCGTTTTTTCTTAGAAGTATAGCCAGAACACATTTCTGGTTCAGAGGTCACAGTTGCACCTTTTTTTTTTTTTTTAAGATTTATTTATTGGAAAGTCAGATATACAGAGAAGAGGAGAGACAGAGAGGAAGATCTTCCATCTGATGATTCACTCCCCAGGTGAGCGCAATGGCCGATGCTATGCTGATCCAAAGCCAGGATCCAGGAACTTCTTCCGGGTCTCCCACACGGGTGCAGGGTCCCAAAGCTTTGGGCCGTCCTGGACTGCCTTCCCAGGCCACAAGCAGGGAGCTGGATGGGAAGTTGGAGCTGCTGGGATTAGAACCGGCGCCCATATGGGATCCCGGCGCATTCAAGGCGAGGACTTTAGGTGCTAGGCCACGCCGGGCCCACAGTTGCACCTTTTTACTGTCCCTTTGGGGCAACACAGAGCCAACTGCTCAGCCTCCGTAACCACCCACAGCTCTGACTTCTTGTCATGCACTCTGGGTGTTGTTTGTTTTCTAAATCTGGACTAGCACGCAAGCCTGCCATCCAATCAAAACATCCAGCGAAAGTGGCAGACAAAAAGGCCTAAGCAGAATGGCAAGTGGGTCCCCTACGACGTGCCACCCCCCCTTCCCTCCTTGCCAGGA